ATATCTACTTGATTCACTTCTTCTCCTTCATACCTTTATTGCTGCTGACGCATAAATTTCTACCACAAATGACTCATCTAAAGCAATAAACAGACGTCATATTTCCCATTCTTGCTTCCTAAAAATTGAGCATGAAAGTAATTAAAGCACCTGCATTCTTAAAGACCGCAACATTTATTCTGCGGTCTGGCAGCCCGTTAAAATACGTGTGTGCTCAGATCTTGATCAGGAATCTGATCTGCCTGGGCTACCGCAATAAATGCAACACTTAATGTTCAAAAAGAGAGCCATAAATCACTTTAATATTGGACAATGGTTGAAAACAGAGCAGGTTTTTGAAAATATCTGGCTCCAATTAAGTTGTAAGGAGCGCCCCGGGCCTGAGGATAGGGTCTGGTGATCACATGAGTTCTGTTTAACACAGGACCCCCACTCCCTAACCCCCCAAAAAAACCCTACCTAAACCTCAAGGTTGCAACCTCAAAACTTAAAGGGGGGTCTGGACTCCACTTACACAAGGAATCAGAATGGAGTCAGAATTTAATTTACAAGTAACTTAGCGCATTTAGCTGAACAGACCACTTTACAGCCGAAAAACTGAATTATTCCACACATTAAATTGATGAAGACAGACAAGATGACCAGCTGTGACTCGTTTCACCACAGAAAGCTTACGCAAACTTTCAACTCTTAGGTAGCCCCTCTTCCTATCCAGCCTTTCATATTTCTGTCCCTGTAGCCTGTTTTTTACTCCCCCTTTGCTTCTTTTTTTCCAATTCATTGCATCAACTCTCATGGGAGGATCTAAGTGAGTAGATTTATTCATTCAAAGAGTTCTGAATTACATTACAGCAGCCCGGCAGTCATATGCCAAAGTCTTCCAGCAGCTGAGTTCTCAAGGGAGAGTTAGCCCAAAGGTTACCCTTATATCCCTACCAAATGAGTTATGATTTCTCACTAAATCTCTTCCACTACTCCCACCTACTCCAAAGCAATTGTTGGTGCCATTCTAAGAGCTTATGTTGGCTGATATTATACAGATGTGAAGTGGTTTATCACAGTAAACCTCATCTTTGAAACCAACAGCTACACTAAGGATCTCATTATGAATCCTTTAGGGGTCGGCAAGATGAAAAACCCCTTCACAGTTTAGATTGGGAACTTGTTAATAGATAATACAACTTTACATACATATCAGTTTTTTTTTTACGAAACAAACAATTAAAAACCCTGATACATTAAAATACATGATCCGATTGATGCAAAATAGTTTTCCTGAAAGATCACACATTGTTCCTGCCCGGTAACAGCCACACACAGTTCCAAGATGGTTCCCCCCACCACTATAGTCCCTCTAGTTATCCCTTATCCGTTTGATTGAGCTAAACTGATCGTATTAGTTCTTATATTGGATATAATTTAGAAATACTGCATACTTACTTACAGCCATTCAGCCAACATTTTGACCCCTAAGTAGTTCTCTTGCAATCAAGTGGGAGATACTCATTTTGTAGTCACCATTTGCAGCTTGTTATTACAATCGGAACAATATAAAGTGAATATGGTCCATTACAACCAGGAATATTAACAGATAAGCTGTGACAGCATCCACAGAAACCAGGCCACATTATTGTTATGCTTCTATTTATGCTAACAGAGACTTAACAAGAGCCAAATGAACAGGATGGCAACAAATCATTCTTTACTTAATTGCAAAACACAACTTGTGGGTTTTGTAAGTGTTTGTGAGTGGTCAGTGTGTGTGTGTGTGTGTGTGTGTGTGTGTGTGTGTGTGTTGTCTGCAGAACTATACTATTGCTGCAGGCTGCTAGCTCTATTTGCTCGTAATGCTGCATGAAGAGGAAATCCAGATTCTTCATGAGAAGGATTTCATCCGACCCTGTGTGTGTGTGTGTGTGTGTGTGTGTGTGTGTGTGTGTGTGTGTGTGTGTGTGGGAGGGGGGGGGTTGTTGTGTGTTTGACATAAACCCAGCTGGTGCTCACAGGTTCCTGTGTCTTAAAGAAAAAGGAAAAGGCCCTGCAATCCTCCATAATCCCGTAATAACCTTTCTACTGCTCCCCCTTTGACACAACTGTTTGCCCGCTGTTATTATGTTATGCTGGGACATCTGGAAAAGTTTAGCTGCTTTTGTTCTCTCCCCCTCGCCGTAATCACGTCCACAAGCACAGACACCTTCCGTACATAAGAAAACCTGGGGATTATGATTTAAAGCTTCCTAGTTACAGCTGGTTAAGATCTTTTTATGTTGTTAACAAAACAATCGAACCTAGCGTGGTGGCGTTATATGCCTCTGGGTGTCTTAATGAGTAGCTGCGTTTACTGTAGAGCTCCTCTTTTTGGCTTGACTTGGACCTGTAACACTTGGATGAGCATCTGAGCGACTTCAGTACAGTATGTATGCATGATGGTGCCACAGAGCAGCCAGCCCCAACAATACATCAAAGTTTAATACAGAATAATAGCACTGCTGACAGCTCTCATAAAATCCTTCCCAAGCAGATGATTTCTCTGCCAGATAACAGCTCAGATCTGGGCCTTACGCCCCGCTAACACACAGACAACGGGCTCACCTGTTCAACGCAGGCCTTTACGATTACACCTACTGTGTGTATGTGCATGCAAAGAGGTTTATGTGTGTGTGTGTGTGAGCCAGCTGCTATTGTTTTTATCCTGCACATCACTGGGTGGAAATTGGCAGGTCGTTTCAATGCTGGAGAAAAATGAAATGGCGCTTTGATGTCCTTTTAGCAGGCTGTGACAGACACAAGACTGTTTTGAGAATAAAGACTGTTTATGTACCAGTCTGAAGAGTTACACAGGGAGGAAGAAGAGTGATCGGCCTTGGGATGAATTATGGATACCACATGTCTAAAGCTAGAGCCCACTCTTGAGCCAGAGTGCTTTTCAAGGATGGGTAATTGAAGTGTGCTGCTAAAGGAACTAATATTACATAGAGAAAGCCTCAGCAGCTCTTCCACTCTACTGTACTGTATATTGTACGCAGCATTAGGCTATTAAGGTGAGTTGCCTGTTGCACTCAGAGTTGTTGCTAATATGCAAATACAGCCATGAATACAATCAAGACTCACACTTTCCCACCCGACTGTATACCAGTCAGATTCAGTCCAATATTCATTGCATCCTGCAAGTGCACACGCACTCCTCGTCTCACTCTCGGCATCTCTCTCTTCCTTCTCAGACACACATGTACACACACAGATGCATGAGTGCGAGAGAAGGAGCCCACTGAACTGGAAAAGCGTTTGTCTCAAGATGAAAGGCTTCACACCCACTGCCTACATGCGGAGCCTCTTCCGACACCTTCCCGCGACAGCGCATACTGTAGCAGAGGCTATGCAGACACACTCCAGCTAGCATCCCTCCCCACACCCATCAGCAACGCCGCAACACACTTGCATCTCTTCTTCCCTTTCACTCCCTTTCCCACCCTTCCTCTCTGTCAATGGAGCGCTCATACTACAGTAGCAGCCCGGGGACAGGAAGGCACATTAGCGGCGTGACTTGAACAGCGTTGAGAAGGATAAGCTCCCATGAAAGGCTTGAGGCACAGCAGCCTTGTGTTCAACCGTTGCTGGTGTAGCACAGTGGGCTCTCAGGCGTGGAACATGCTTAGCCACACGCAGGGCGTGAAAAACGACACTGACCATGATGCTAGATAATTGCTTCCCATTTACTCATGTGCTGAGAGCCTCAGACAAAAATAGCATGTCGCTGAGGAAATGTGCTGGGAAGTATGGGAACTGTGAGTGCTGTGGCCATGGATCGATTCGCAGAGTGGACAGCATCCTGCAAGCGTATAGTCTACACAGCATCTTACTAACATAGTCTCTACAGCACCTACAGCACCTAGCAACATACAGCCTTACAGCATCATTGAGATTATATCCCCATCTTCCTGGATGTAGTGTACATTGCAAAACCCCAGCCTATAAAGCTAAAGTCTAGTCTTCAATGTTTATTAAATACAAGCACAGCCTCTGTCTGTGTGTCTTCTTATCTGCTGTAGTTGGTGGTTAGGTGATAATCCAAAGAATGGTCCAGACATTTACACAGGCCTAACTGTTGTTTTTTCACACCACAGTGTTACCTGCATCACATCTGCAGACTGCCCTTAGCTCTCCAAACTAGAACCCCCCAGCCACATTTCTCAGAACCCCTCTATTCTCATCAGCCCTGCGTGATAACATGCCCTGTCCCTGCATAATGGTCCGAAGTTAATGTTTTTGCTCCAAATATGAGCCATTGAGGTCCAATCTGGATGTTATATGTAGTCCAACAAAGGCTCCAGAGACGCAGCAGTACTTTACGGAAATTTACTGTGACAAGGCATCAAGACTGAGCCCCACAGGAGACCATCCATGCATCTGGGATCTGTGTTCCCCTCATCGATGCGTACAACAATTACAGTCCTCCTTATCATCACTACAGGAGGCACTCACGCATATATAGGTGCTATGTTGCCCTGCTGCACAATCACAGTCATGTAATAATCATATAGCACTCGGGTCAGATGAAATACATCAAGCCATAAATTAATCAGATTCACGCCGCCTTGCTGAACATGTGCCATGCATATCTTACATTTCATAACAGCCACAACAGTCACACATACACACAGCATATCCATCACTCAGAATTAGCACCACAACAAATACCTGCTACTTCATCTTACAAGCTTACATCAAGGTAAGGTAGGGAAGCAAATGATCAACCTAATCTAGAAACACATCTAAAAGCTGAGGCAGTACAATAACTAGATGGTATAACCACTGCAGTGCAGTACTGTATACAGCCAGGTACTGATATTCCTGCCTTTTAGAGCCCACACAAGGCTAACCATGCTGGGTAACTGATCAACTACAGCTGCCTGCACGAGCCAAACAGGCAAACACAGAGAGAAATGGAAAGCGGAGGTAAAGAGAGGACCAGCATCGAGGCTGGCCGCTCCTGTACTCACCAGCACTGGCAGAACACAGCAGAGACACCAAGAGCACAATCACCAGCGTCAGGATCTTCACATTCATTTCTGCACTCCCCTCTGGCTCTCCGCTAGTCACTCGCTGATATACTGTAGTGCTCTGTGTGTGTGTTTGTTAGTGTGTGTGTGTGTGTGTGTGTGTGTGTGTGCGTGTGTGTATGTGTGTGTGTGGATGGGAGGGAGGGAGAGAGAGAGTGAGAGAGAAAGAGAGAGGGAGGGAGAGAGGGGAAGAGAGAGCAGCTGAGCGAGCAAGAAGGAGAGAGAGACTGTTTGCTCCCCTGTGTGTGTGTGTGTTGGAAGTGAGTGTGTCAATTTGTGGGAATATGTGTGTGTGTGTGTGTGTGTGTGTGTGTGTGTATGGTGGCTCCCTGACTGTGCCTGTGTATTTGTCTAAATGCGTATTTGTATATCAGTGTGTGACAGCGCCACTCCAAGACTGAAGGCACGTCTTTATCTGAGCTCTCCCACGGAGGTGTGTGTGTGTGTGTGAGAATGTGCGTGTGTGTCTTTTCTTCTTCTGTCAGAGAAAAGGCAGCAAGAGCCAAGTTCAGTGGAGCTGTGAATGTGCTGCTGGAAGTCCGCTTGTAGATCTGTCTGGCTGCCTGCGTGTGTGTCCCTGTGTATGTGTGAGTCCAGTTGGTCATGTGGCTTATGTATCATTGACTCTGAGGGTCACGGAAAAGCCCTCACGCCCCCACCCTCACCCTCACCCACCCTTCTCCACCCCTTTTCCACAAACATGCAAGTGCACACGGCTGAGGAAGTAGACAGAGAGAGGTAGCAAAAGGAAGGAGGGAGGGGAGGAGGAAAATGGGGGGAGTAGGGAGATGAAGGAGGGGGGGGGGTGAAGGTTTACGATAATACCCAAACAGATGCTCTTGTTGAAAAGTCTTTGAATTGCAAGCAGGGCCGCCTGCCAGGAGTCCAGGAATCAAAATACCAGCTTATTAGGGGAAGTGGATGAAAGAAGGGAAGGTGTGAGATGAGGTTCATGCTTTTCCTGCTTTTGTATCTCCACCAGCTGTATGAACCTTTCTTCCTCACTCTATTCTTTACCCACTGCGGCTCTGGTAGGCCCCATCTAGGTAAAGGTGCGGCTTAAATCTTTCCTGCTGTTTGAAGTTTCAGCCCGTTGACACTGGGAGTAACCGCAGGAAAAAACGTATCAGACTCTGCCCGATCGCAACGCTCAAACCGTTTGTTCCGACGCCCCTGGAGTCATTTGTTTTATTTTGTTACACACAGATTGTATTCTTTCCATGAACAAAGGCCGTAACATAATCACCACCCGGCAAGGCTATAAAATAAGACCGATTATTTATTTAATTTGTTTATCACACAATAAACAGGAAAGGTTGCATTTCTCGCAGTGAATTGTGAGAACTGTAAGCAGGCACAACAAGTTTCTTATCACGTGAAGCCACAGAGCGACATCAATGCGACGATTTCTACATCCCCTCTTGAGAAGATATTGTTGGAGGGCGATAAATTTTGTTTAAACTGCATGCATAAAAAAGAAGGAAACCATGAACTCCACCCTATTACGACATTTAATACTCGGCTCCAGTACAAGCAATCTATAGAACCAGTCCAACAATCCCTCGATGAATTAATAAATCAGCGAGAGTTTCGAAATGTATGATAGTTAACTTTTTTATTTAATCATTTTAAAGGTGTAAATTTCTTAAATGGCCTTAGTTCACTGTGGGCCCATAGAGTTGAGTCCCAAAAGAGCTGCAGTGACACATGATGAATGGACCGCCTTTGGTCACAACCTCCAGACACAAACCCCCCACTCCGCAGCCTTCCTCACGCCCCCATTTCTATGTGTTGTCACTAAACAGTCACTTTAGTGGTGTAGACCTGAGAAGAGGGGCCCTGTGACCCTCAACTCCGCTGCTCCTTCTTCACACAGCCCGCCCATTGTCTCCCCAAGGCCCCGGGTCCCAGAGGGCAACATGTCTGTGCCACCCACTTGAGATCCAACAACAAGAGCAGCTTCCATTTTTACACGCAGCACTTGAAGCCTTCACTTCATGCAAAGCAATCCTCTCACCTTAGGGGTGGCCAAGCCCCTGCGGCTAAAGATGCTTATCCAAGCCTGTCCTTTTTTTAGCCGAAAGATAATTCTCCCAAGTGCCTTTAGAAGAATCCGTTCACAGTATTTTCTCAAAGGTGCTCACTGATCACTCACAGAAAGCATGACCGATTCTTTCCAATTGTACATAATGAGAGATAGTGGGGGTTATAGCGCCATTACCAACCCACTTAGTAATTAGGAGTAATTCAAAATTCGATTTAGTCCGACATTCAGGAATCATTTTAAAGCAATGTGGGATACTGCCTGCAGAGTTGTTTTAAATTAACTGCTAATGCGGATATCAAAACTCAAACTGAGGCCATATTCAGAATGAATCCAGGTGCTACCCATGATAATTTATGACTGTGGCGTTACCAGTCATTAAAATGTCCTTTGGACATGGATAAAACGTGTGAGACATTGTAAAGTTGGCAGTCCAGGCTCAAACATTTGCACTCTATTAGCTTTAATTGTCTTAGCTTGAAGCAAAGCCTGCAATGAAAATGTAACAGATGGTGTTTCCTCTGAGTGTATCAGTGGACCGAGTGTAAGCCGGTGGAGGATTGCCTTATTTCTTTTTTCACATCTAAGGATGTGGAGCAAGACCTGGCAACCTGACAACAGACAAGAGGACAGCAATACAGTCACATGTACCTCAACACGGGAAATACTCGGCTGTTTACAGGAAGTGTTTGATGAAGGAATGCGGTGTATGTCTGGATTTGGTCCCTGCTGACGACTTTTCCTGATATTCTTAATAAACAGGCAGGCATTCCTCAGATAAGCGTAACACAGATGATGGAAAAGGTATCTTTGCATTTCCTCTGAGCAACCTTTTCTCTTCAAATAAATGCAACCATTACTGCAGAAACTGTCAACAGGTGTCCTCTCAGCTGTGCTTAAATTAGTCCCCTGATCTCAGAACAGATTTGCTGCATTATTTACTGTATTCACAATTAATGTGCGTCCTGTTTATCATCCGCTTCTATATTAAGCTCCTGATTTCTAAAATGCTAATGAAGTGTGCGGATGTTTGCTTGCATTGTTGTTTTGATGATTGAATGAGCAGCAGCAGGCAGCTCGTGTTGTTGTTGTTGTTGTTATACAAAAGTGAACTCCACATTTCTGTGTCTGCTTCCGTTTCCAGAGCATTCATCAGATACAGCGCAGCTTTATTAAAACGGTAAACAAATCAAACCTCTGTCAGGATAAGAACCACAGTCAACAGCCTGAGCAAATGCAGAATGTCAATGTGAGATCAGGTCATGCTTGCTAATTAGCTTCTCCGGAGAGATCGGCAATGAGAGAAGAAAGTGTGACATCTTCATTAGGACGTTTCAAAGCCGGAGATTCCGAGCTGTGTTTGCACTCGTCTGAGGCTTTAAACAAATGTGATTCTGCCCTCAGGCGCCCTTGTGCTTCATATCATGAAATGTCAAGAATCAGAGACTGTGTGGATTAACTTATCTGCCTTTAATCGTGACATTATCAGCCGCTCTGCAAATTCAGCTGAGAAGTGTTCTGTGCTCGCCAAAGCCCCCTGGAAGACAGGACAGCAATTTTCTTCTCGTCTGTGGTTCTCGTTCTATTGAATTGCCTTGGAGCAGCCACACACAAACGCACATTTTGAATAGACTGAATGAATAGACTTCTAAGAAATAGCTAATAGACTGTAAAGATCTTCTGCTGCACATAAATGCAGCATTTAACAATTATCCTGAAGCATTTCTACAAAAAAAAAATATTTTCATACAGATAACAAAGTGTCATTTTGGGAATCATTTATGAAAGTATTGAGGTCTGTTTACCCCGTCATTGGAACGCCAGCTTGGGTTTATCTTCTGATGTCGGACAGGCTCTGAACTCTAAAATAATCCGAAACTTTGGACGTCAGAGTCCCGCAGTTCACAGAGAAGAGCAGTTTACACAACAGTAATCATGTAAATACTCATTTATTTCTCATCTTCTTCCCTTTCTTCTTTCTACTTTGACAGATTCATGTTCAACAACTAGAAATGATGACATTTTTCATCATGAGCTTCCTAATTGTTTTCACTGCTGCTCCTCTCCTGAATCCACCAGACAAATGATCCTCTGGGATTCCATGCTGTAGTATAGCGTGACTCCCTTACAGTGGCCCTATAATCAGTCCAATATGCTGTATCATTCTTTGAAAACACAGCAGCCTGCAGATTGGAGAAAGAGATGCGCCGTGAGATGACAATTCACTTTACCTGCCAAGATAAAGAGGCTACTTTTTTTTATTTCCAGGGAGCTTTTCTTTTTCACCAGCAGGTTTATTAATCACAATATCCCTGTCAGGTGACTTCAATCTCAGTGGATTCGCAGGCACAGAGGACAGATTTTATCCTGTGATGTTGCACCTGGAGGACGTTTGAGTTCAAAAAAGTCTATTCACATCACGAAATAGGACTGCAAATCATGGAAGTTTGGTATTGTACCGAGCATTTGTCATTCTGGTTTGCAGGAAATGGGCAGGATCAAACTTAAATAGCGTGTAGAAAACACGCCGCACCCTCATAAGCCTGTCAACCCTTAGATTCCCCAACGATACTGTGCAACAACAAATGAGGGAAGTCTTTTGATTCGGTCTGTGCTCTCTCTGCGGCCCAATCAGAGATAAGAATCTTCTGAGGGTTTTTCTCCAGGTGGCAGGTGATACCAACACAGCTCCCTGACATCACCCTCAGAGCTCTGCGAGTGTTGAATGCATCTTCAGTGTTTGGAAACTTCCTTAAGTTTGACTCCTCACCTTTGACTTTGAGGCTAGTGGTGGCTTGTACGCTTTTTACATGCTCCTGTGCACTTAAAAATGACAATCATCTGGTCCCTGAGTGCACTATTCTCCAGGAGTGATGTTTAATTGTCAGTAAGCAGAAGATATGGAGACCATCCATTCCTCTTTTATTGTAGCAGAGGATCAGAAGGAGTCAAAACAAACTAAAAGGCATTGGTGTTAAATCGAAAGCGGGTATCTATTATCTCCCACTCTAATATTGTTGCAGTTATCAGGAGTTTGATCTGTCTGAGTAGAGGCATGCAGTTTGGAAATGGCTGATT